ATCTGTCTTTTTCTTTAAATATGTCTTCAGAACTTTGAAATTAGATCTCTGCAGTCTATGATGATATATTGAATCTAATAACTTTTGTTTTAAAAAGGATATTCACACTTAAAATTGTTAATATTTCCCAAGATAGCAAATACTTTGTTTTTTTTCTCATTTGATTTTTGAAATATGCATGTAAACTGTGTTCTTTATTGAACAAAAACCTACTTATTTTTCTAAGCCCTCTTAACCTCCACCCAGTATACAACTACTATTCTGACATTTGTAATAATTCTGTTACCTTCCTGTTCTTTGTAATACTGCCATCTATAAATGAGCCTCTAAACAATATACTTACTTTTAATGTTTTTTGTTTGTTTGTTTGCTATACTGGGACTTGGACTCAGGGCCTTTGCAATGAGCTATTCTCCCACCCTTTTTAATTTTAAGATAGAGTCTTGCTAAATTGCCAGGCTGACCTCACACTTATGATCCTTCTACCTCACCCTTTTAGAATGCTGGGATTACAGGCATATGCCACTATACTCAGCTAGTTTTAGTCTGTTCTAAAACTTTATCTGAGCTGGGCATGCATGATGGTGCATACTTGTAATCCCGCACTTGGGAGTCTGAGGCAGGAGGATCCCTGTGAGTTTGAGACCAGCTTGGGCTACGTAGTGAGTTCCAGGTCAGTCTCAACTACATAATGAGACCCTGTCTCAAAAAACCAAAACAAAAACAAACAAACAAACAAAAAAACTTTATCTAGATAGAAAAAAATATATATATAATGTGTGTATATATAATTATGTATGTGTATATATGTAAAATGTCCATATGTATATTCTTACCTCTGCCTCATTCATTCAGATTGATATATGTAACTTTGGCCATTATTCCATCATTTATATATTTAACAATTTAATTTTCATTCTCTTGTTGATAGACATGGTTTTTCCAAATTTTTGCTATTCTGTATGATGCTACTTTAAAAATTATAAATCCTAGTGTTGAGCAAGGTACATTTATATATATATATACATATATATATACATATATATATATATAT